CATGCATGTCCGGGCACGCATTAGCTGTTGTTGTTCTTAAGGTGGGCGCCAGTCAGTCCACCGTGATCGGAGACCCTCGTAGTGGACATCTAAGTCAACATGGCGGTTAATGCTGTCCTCATCGGAGTACCAACCTTCGAGGAATTCCCGTGCCTGCTTGGTGTTAATTCCTAAGACTCCCAATCCCTGAGGTGCGAATCCGCGCTCTGTTGGTTAGAAGTCCAACTCTCTAACCCCCTGAACCGTGGGCATGTAGACCTGCCGGTTTACGCTTGGGTATATTAACCGACAGACCAACGACCTCATGGCTAAGTGGCTACAGCGTAGGACTTCTAATCAACAAAATGCAAGTTCTCCGGTCGTCTTGTTTATGCTCTTCAGGAGCCTTTTTAACTCGTTAGCGTTCGATGGCATATAATACTCCTTGTCCGTCAAAAGATTTCCCAGCTTTGTCCAGCACTCGGCCTTATCTATGACGAATTTCGAACGCCGTTTGTGGACGGGCAAGATGACGATATTCTCCATTTTTCGTCTTCCCAGGAGTTCTCGATCTTCTCCTTTGGAAATCGCCGTCTGGCGTTCGTGTTCGAGGAGTAATGTCGACACTTGTTGTCGCATGGCGTTTTTGTACTCCTCACACTTCTGAAGCATCGATTCGAAGGATGCAATGAAGTATTCTGAACGAGCATATCTTGGGCTTTACTTCGTGTCATAGGATAGTATAGCTAGTTTTTGCTGGGTGAGGCGATAGGAAGACAACAAGCCATGCCAAGATTGCAATGCAACGTATGTTTGTGAAGCGGGCAAATGCTTTGACACAAGATTGCACGAACACCGACTCGAAAACAATTGCAAGGACAAACTGTTTCTGGCCTGTGGTTACATAAAGGAGCTGAACAACACTTTCACCTTTGAGACGGCAAGGATGACCGACCAAGCTATTGAGAGAGACAGGTGCCCGAAAGTTGACCCTCGACCAGCACAATGAATCGAGTCCTAGACCTGCATCCCGCCTACCAGGCGCTATGTACGAGGCTCGGATCAGCTCGGACGGCGCCAACGGAACAGTCGAGCACGCGGAACCGAGAGCCGACGTACACGGAAAGGAGGGGAGGGGACAGCCGAAGGTCACATGACCATCATCGAACACTGCTCCATCGACGCGAACGTGAGGCCGAAAGCAACTGGCGCGAACAGCAACAACAGATCAGTTCGGCGACTGACGTGGGGGCCGCCGGCAGGCACACCGACTTGACTACAACTAGGTCGGCCCACAAGGGGACAAAGGTCGCGCAAGCCTGCCAGCGGCCATTCTCGGAGGGCTCAAAGCTAGTCAGCAGCAAACGAGCAGGTCAAAGTTCGTGCGTCGAGCACGGATATGATACGAGGCAGGCGGCAAGACTAAATAACTCAAGACCATCAATGAGCAGCGACCACACAACCCTAATGATGGAAGTGAGGAAGTTTCCGAGACGTCAGTACAAATGCAATGTAGTCCATGAACTCACCCTTACTTCTTTTTCATCTTCTTCCGGAGATGATGAACGCGATAACATATCTGGACCTCGAATCTTTGGGCATATATCATAAATATGTATACTTATGTACACCGTCTCTTCAAAAGTTAATATACGTACTTCGCGAGCATTCTGCGGCGCAAACTTTCTCACATTCGATCCGCAGGTTGACGTATGTGAGCGGAAATCCATCGGTTTCAGCAGAATAACTGCGTTCGAACTGTTAAATGTTGACTATTACCTGTATGTTATATAAACCAGTATTGGCATAACACTGATTACCTATGGGCAGAATATAGATATTGCATGGTTATTTCGTGGAGCTGGTAGACTTTAGTTCAAATGTTCATGTCCAATTTTCAACCGAATCTGAGAAGCCTTGTGGCACATAATCTACTCCAAGTCCACTCATTTACACTTGGGGAAATTAAAAGTCCAAAATGTATGCATAAAGAGAGGAATGGAGAAAGAGGACAGCGAGATGGAACGAGAGAAAGTTGTTTTTCACGCGATGAAAAAGTCGTCAGGTCGAAGGAAATTTAGTTCTTTGTTTTCTTGGTCAGTTTGAAGCAATCTTCTCAATGTCAACTGTCCTTCGGTATTCAGATGACGGCATTAAAAACTCTTGCTGTATGGTCTAATCAGACACTAGATGGCCTGCGGACTTTGCTTCACTCTGTTATCAAGGTCAGTCTGGCCTTTAGTAATCCAAAAAGTGGCAGAGAATAAGTATATGCGCGGGATAAGGAAATGCTAGCTGTTGCTTAACAATCTCACCAGCGTTTTAGTACTTTTGCTTTACTGGCGGACGCATGCATTCGATCTAACCAGTATTTCGAGTATTTTGTTTACTACCTGCGTGCTGAACAATGAACCAATGTTAAAATTTCAACAGCAGCGACTCCTCAGATGGGCACAGGTTAGCAAATGTAATCCTGCCAACGAAGGGCCGACCGAAACCGAACAACGCCCACTTTTAGAAATATTGTAGGCAGTTCTCCATAATTTCTCCTTACCCCGCGCATATACTTAATCCTTACCGTACTTAACTAACGATCGTCGTCGAGTGGATTGCTTTGTCTTGAGGTCTAGCTTCCATAGATGACAACTTAATTATCATTTTCGCCTTCAAAGAGGTGCGGAGATATAGAGAGACCGAGAGACGATATGCAAAAACGGGTGCCCATGGGAGCAGCGTTCACTGATGCCACCAGCTTTCAAGCCGAAATATGGACGATCCGTTCTACACTGAAATTTGCTTTGTTCTGAGCAGCTGACATGGAACCAGCCCATGGATCAAGGACCAACTGAGTCGATATCTGAACTACGTTAATTCTTCTCGATCATTCCGTGTTTTACCCTCTACGCGAACAGAACCGGTAGGCTAATTCCTACAACCCGATGATTGATGCACATGCCCCAACTGGGCATTTGTCATCCAAAATTAGCAAGGTGTGTTCCAAGAGAGACCTTAAGTGCATTCATATTCCTGGACAAGCGATAGTCTAGCCGAGTTTTCGACAGGTCGACTGGGTTCAAAATGCGTCAAGAATTGGTCGCCGTGCTTAACCACTGAAACAGCGAAGATGATGAACCGCATAGTGATACCACCAGAGACCCTGGTCAAGGAGCAGAGAGAGAGAGAGAGGGAGACCAGGAGGAAAGTAGAAGAATCTGAGTTGTTTTGGAAAGGAGTTTCGGCAAGGGGCGAGTACGCTGTTCTGGTCGCAAGTTATTTTTTAAATCTCCTTT